GCCCCAGGGCAGCTGTGGCTACAACTGTAGCTGCCTCCACCAGTGTGTGAATGTGAGAGTGAATGAATAGTGGAATTGTAAAGCGCTTTGAGGGTCTAGAAAAGTGCTTTATAGATGCAATCCATTATTATTTTTTTTTTTTTTTGTCAGTATTATTTAATTATTTTTATTCTCTGATAAAAAGTATTAAAATTATTGTGTTTTTCTTTTAAAAGCAGAAATGAAAAAAGCCTGATCATTAAACCTGCAAATAAAGACTTTTGTGCCAGTCACAGGCCAACCAATCAGAGCAAGACAACCGTGAGGAGAGGGGCGGGGCCTGCCTGAGTGACCGAGCTGTGTGACATAACATCACCTTTCACCCAGATAACCAACCAACCAGCTGACCTGCTGTGATGTCACCATATGTTGAGGTTGAGGTTTTGTTTTTTTAAAAGGTGAATGTGGCAGCTTCCAGGTGAGGCAGGCGTGACAGGTTAGCTCAGGGGTGTCGAACTACAGGCCTCAAGGGTCGGTGTCCTGCATGTTTTAGATATCACCCTGGGTCAACACACCTGAATCAAATGATTAGTTCATTACCAGGGATTTGGAGAACTTCAAGACAGGAGGTAATTTAGCCATTTAAATCAGCTGCAATGGATCAAGGACAACTAAAACCTGCAGGACACCGACCTTCGAGGCCTGAAGTTCGACACCTGTGGGTTAGCTGATCTTAACAGGAAGTGAGGTGTCCTGTTCTATCAGCCAATGGTTAGTTAAAGCACAAACTTATAGATCAACTGTCAATAATCAATAGCTCGTCTGCCTTCTGTCATCACAGAGTAACTTTTAAAGAAACTCAGCAGAATCGCATCATCATTACATCATCACCCTGAGCCTTCAAGCACACAGGTGAGGTGTTACTGACACGTGAGATCAAAACTAGTATTTCATTATTTCAACTCGGTAACTACAGTGATGAATAGGAGGTGGAGGGCATAATGTCAGCGGTTCAGAGGGGGAGGAGTCAGTCAAACAGGTGACAGTCCAGTTTAAGCTCAGAGTGGGAGGAGGAGGAAGGGTTTATGGGCTGTTTGTGTCCTCTGATAGATTCCCTGTAATAACTGATAACTGACTGTTGTGTAACGCTGACCGCCATCACACCACGTTTCATCTCACAGCAACCTTTGACCTATCCTCAGCTGCTGACACAGCTGGCCTTCTGACTGACACATTTCAGTGTTTAATCGTTTCTGTCACGGCTCCACAAACCCCCTGCATATCTTTCAAAATAAAAGCATGAATTCTTACTGAGCCACTGTAAGTCCTCCTGTCGTCAGTGAGAGCCCACGAGCCCATGGCACCAACGCCAGCGGCTGCAAAACACTTCCAGAGGCCTCAGAGCATCAAAACCTTCACAAGCACAGCTGATGATGTGATCACCACTATGCTGTAATCCTCCGGATATGATTTTAAACAGAGAGACAATCTAAACACAGTCTCACACACACAGACACTGTAGTTACAACGTAAGGTTTTTTAAGAGCTTTAAAATGACTAGTGGCAATAAAAACTGAGAGAGAGAGTATAAGAATGTGTAAGAATGAGTCCATTTACAGGTTCACT